TGAGCCTTGAGCAGCCTGCTCTGGTGGGAGGTGTCCCTGCCCAGGGCAGGGGTTGGGGCTGGATGGTCTCCAAGGTCCCTTAACATATTAGGATTTGTGATTCTCACCTGGACAGGAATTGGGGTGCAGCTCTCCTGTTCTGGAGTCCTGGGGCCTCTCCTGGCAGCAGCCACTGGTTGTCCTTTCAGCTTGGATCTCTTCTTGTGCCGTTTCTTTCTGGCCCTGCCGCGGTGTCTCCCCCTCCAGCAGGTTGGTGCCATCTTGCCCTCCGTGGCGTGGGCCACATTGTTGGGGATCTGATCGAGGCTGTCTGACCTGCTGCTGGAAACCAGAACGTGGGGGAGCTCTGAGATGGGAGCCCGAAGGCACCGCTGGTGCACTCACACAGCCCTCAGGAATGGGTCACTGCACAAACCCACTGGTCTGAACCAGGCCAGGACAGCAGACAGAGCAGAGGAACCACCTCCACGCAGAGGTCTCACCTGTAACGCTTACTGTGGGCAATGAAGGATCTCTCTGACAAGGTGGGGCTGAACTCCTGACTGTTTTCACCTGTGTCAAAGAGAACATGGCCATCACTCCTCTTAAAACATCAGGCAAAGTCTCTCCTAGTAACAACTGGACTAAAACAACTCTGCCAACATGCTAAATCAGTGACCCAGACAAATCAGCGCACAGTCATGCCACACCACCCACACTGCATTCCTCCTCCCCCAGCACTTGGAAGCTTCCCAGCTACCTCCTCTCCCTCAGCTCTTTCCCACCTGAGAGCTTTATTCCGTTTTCCTCCCCTTTTCCCTCTCTCTGACTCCTTTCAGAAGATGAGCCAAGGGCAGGTGACCCCCAGCACACAGATTTAGGTGAGGTGCACTGGCCTCATGCTGCTCTGCTTTGTTCAGGGGATGCTGCCACGTTACTTGGAGATTTCATGAGCTTCCTAAATAGAGCCTGGGATGTGTCATCAGCTCCACCCCACTTGGGATTACAAATAGATTTGGTCTCAGCTCTCCAGGAGTGTGGAGGCAGTGAAATCCCATCCCTGATGACACATTCCTTTTCCTCAATGAAGCTCAGCCCATGCTGCTACTCACATTCTGCTTGGGCAATAATAGAAATTGATGCACAGCCTCCTTCTGTTTCTTCTTTAGCTGTTCCTTTGGTGATCACATCTTTCAGGATTTTCCACTGACTGTCAAAGATGACCTTCTCTGAATCTTCTACCTTGCAGACACTGCTCTGCTTTTCACTCACTGTCTCCTTCAGCCCCTTGGTAGCTGTGAGCTCCTTCTTGTGCTTGACAGCTGGATCAGGAGCTCCCTGGCATGTAATTCCCATCACTGCCATTTCCCAGGTTCAGAGAGACACTGAGGAGGAACAAAAAGACAAAACACTTGTCAAAATACTTCACAGACAGCTTCAAGTTCACGGGAAACAGGAGGCTGCTGAAGGTATCAGATCAATCCAGCTCAGGGTCCTCCCCACGCTCTGAGCTGCAGAACCACCCCAGAGTTCCACCTTCCACCCCAACTTGTACCACTGAGGAGCTGAAGAATCAATGCTATTCTCACTACTCAAAGTATGAGACCACACAGGTTTCAAAGAGAAAAAATACTTCCTGGTATATTCCCTTTGCTTAAACAGTGAAACTATATAGATGAGGGAACTGTGTATAGCTAAACAGGAAGAAAAATCACTCAACACCAAGGGGGAAAGGGAAGACATGAGAATTTTTCTCCTAGAGTGCACTTAAGAGGAATCACACTGAGCTCTCATACCACATAAAGGGCCTAACACCCAACTAATTGCTCCCTCCCCTGTGCCCAGTCACCCTCAAATCCACTGCTCCCTGTCCCTTCCAGCCTGCCTGGCTGTGGCTCCTCCCTCACTCCTTCCTTCCCCCTCATCACCAGCAACCTTTGCAACCCTCAGCCAAGCCCCACGGGAGTGGAGTCCTCAGAGAGCACAGGACTAAAGGCAGTGGTGCTGGACAGGACAGCAGTGGAGCTGGAGCAGACAGGGAGGGGGTCAGTGAGCTGACCAGCAGCTCAAATGGAGCTCCAAACAAGTCCCAGCACATGCCAAATCTTGGCCAGTTGGCAGCACAGGGGAAGGTGGAAGGCAGCCAGGGATGGAAGGGGAGAAGCATAAAGCAGGATGGAAGCACTGCAGGACAGGACAGGCCAGGGATATCCTAGAGGGTGAAAATCAACAAGCTGCAGAGTGAGGAGTTCCCTACAACACAAGCCCATGGAGAATACAGCTTTGGTTTAGCTCCTGACCCCTCACCTTGGGCTCTGGAGAAGTTAAACCAATTGTTTTCTTCTAAACCAGAATTTGGTCTGTGGCCCCTTAACTGTAGAGATCCCTCCCTCGTCCTGGGCCTCTCACAGTCAGGTGTAAAACCTTCAAATGGACATTTCCACCACCAGAGTACCCACGAAACCTCAGCCAGCAGATGTCAGGTACCAGGAGCCTGGCATAGGGCAAGCAGGAGGGACAGCAAAGCCAAGACCTCAGGACCACGACAGGAGAACACCTTGGAGACTCAGCAGCTTAAATCTGCACCAGGGATTTTTTTCCCCTTCCTTCTCTCCTCTTTTACCCTCACCACGAGCAGCTGCCTGGGGCAACAGGACATTTATTCCAGCAGGCTCCTGGCAACAGAGATGAATCAGGAAAGTGGCAGCTGAGTGGGTGCTCCATGCCTGAAGGACCACCAAGGAAAGCAGGGAGTGTTTGGGAGCCAAGTGCATGAACCTTGGTGTGGTGAGTCACCTAACAACCTGGCAGGTACACAAGGCAAGTCAACAATGACCACATTCAGCAGCTAAACAGAGAACAGCTGCTGTGCAAAAGAAGTGCTGATGACAGAATCCCACTCACTGCTCCTGTCCTGCTCCCTCTGCTCTACAGAAATTATGTCAATTCTCAGTGCTGTAAGATAATCCCTCGGAGCAGCAGCAGGAGAGCTGCCAGATGACTAACCCAGCCACCAGTGACCAAACTGACAAGTTCAGAGCTATTTTTATCTTCACTCTCTCCTGACTTGCATTAACTCTGTCTCTCCTTGCCCTCCCCTCACCTTCAAAGTCCTTCAGCACAAACCAATCCCCAGGGCCAAAAAAGATGTAATCCTACAAATCCTCAGCTTGGTTAAGGGACAACAGAGGGAGGGAGAAGTGAAATTGCAAGTCCTTGTAGCCCTCTGAAATGGAAAAGAGTAACAAGGAAGCGTTACAGAGATTAAAGTCAACAAAGCACATACCTCACCTGCCTACTTAAAAAAACTGCGGCAGGAATTGTAAGCGACACCCTCAAGCAGGGCAGGCACAGGGCTCAGAGGTGCCATGTGTGGCTCAGGGCTGGGGCTTTGCAGCCACAGGAGCTGCAGTGGGCAGCACTAAAGGGGTACCTGAGGCTCCTCAATCAGCCCACAAGAACAGGATTTGCCCACATGAGACACACTGGAGCTGTGGTTTTGCTGCCTGTTTACTTGCCACAGCTCCAGAATGAGCACAGCTTCCTGTGCAGACACAAGTTATGTGTGTGCAACACGAGGAGCTTCACACTGCTGGGCTGGAGGGAGGTTGTCTCATACCCCACACTGCTGCTCTCCCTCAGCCAGGTCACTCAGACCCAGCTCTAACTCCTGATTTCAATACCCCTTGACTCTCTTCCCTCTGTAGGTGAGTGATGGGCTCATTATTTTCAAGGCAGAAAAGGGAAGTCAGGGAATGATGCAGTAGATAAAAGTGAGTTGCACACTCCTAACCCACAAGAGGCTTTTGATACCTGGCTGAAGCCTCTTTGCTCCTTATCTCCACTGAGGGTTTACTCACCTCTGGTTAACTAATGTTAGTTCCCACTGCTGTAAAACAGAAAGTGTGTTCTGACAGAATGAAAGCCAAACAGTCTCAGTGGTGCTGTGCTGGCAGCTCCTCCCTCCAGTCATGTCTGGGACAGACTGATACACTGGATAAGGTCATCCGAGGCTGTGGGGAGTCAGAATTAAGGAGGCACTCAAACACTACCAGTGTAAGGGACAACCATGTGCTTTCTGCACCTTTAAACCTCCTCCTTTAAGCAAGTCCCTCTGCAGCTCTTCCACTTCGACTAGAAGCTGTTTGCAGCAGAGGCCTTAAAAGAGCATTTCTGTGTTCCATGAAGTCACGGTGGGTACAGACTCGGAGCCAACACGACTCAGCACTGCACAGCTCACTGCAGCACAGGACCCTGCTGGGTCTGCCTGGGTCCAGCCTCCTGGGCAGTGGTTTTGAGAGAGCTTCAGCCAATGCTGTGCAGAGCAGCCCAGAGATTCAGTTAAAAATACTTGGAAAAGAGTTTTAATATACATCAGATTCCTAAGTCAAGTTGGCAGTGTGCAGGTTTCTCCCCCAAGGGTGAATACTGAGCAGCAGTTTCACACTGACATTTAGTTTGAAGGAAAAAAAAAAAAAAGAAACAAAAACCATGCCTCAGTGAGGTTTCCACTTCCTTATTGAGAGAGTTCTATGTACAGAGCATTAACTCAGGTTGTCTTCTCCCCTGCAGCTGCTGCTGGTTTGTTCAAACTGCACAAGGAGCATTTTTAGCCATGTTGCTTCACTGACCACCACAACAAAGCCCCAGCTGGGAAGAGCCAGGAATTTCTTTATCACCAGAGCTGGGAATGTCAACTGAGGAGAACACCACACACCTTTTGGGGACCTTCCAGTTCAAACAGGTGTCAGTGAGCACTGCAGGAAGGGCCAAGTTTGCAGCCAAAAGAACTTAGCGTATTAGCTACAAGATTATCAGACAAAGCCACCAAAACTTGTCAAGGAACAGGTTTCTCCATAGGAAAGAAAATAGATGACACTTGTAAAAAAGATGAATCATTTAAAATGTGGTTTGGAGCCCAAGGAGTGTATATATATACACATATATCCATGAAAATGTTCCTGGCCAGGCTGGATGGGGCTTGGAGCAGCCTGGGCTGGTGGGAGGTGTCCCTGCCCAGGGCAGGGGTGGCACTGGATGAGCTTTAAGGTCCTTTCCAACCCAAACCATTCCATGATTCTCTGTCCAAGCCCTTCAAGCCCCAGGCACCACCTCCCTTCATCCCTGCCTCCTCGCCCTCCTGGCTCTGCCTGGATGCTATCCCTGACCTCCCTTCCCTGCCCATGTTTCAGATGGAACTGAAATTAAGACAGTTCCGTTTTCAGCCAAGGCAGTTTAAGGCCTGTTACTGCAGCCTGGGCCTGGGGTGGTGATTTAAACTGCTCAGTGCTGGCAGCAGGAGAAGTTTCAGTTTGTGTCAGAAGGGACTTAAAAAACGGAGTTGCAGCACTCAACTCCCCCGAGCTCAAAACACACTTAGTGCAGCTCTAAGTGAACAAGTTTGAGAGGGGAAAAAAAGAGACTTCCCTTGTGTATCTTAAAAGTTCCAAAGTAAAAATAAATAGAATGCCTGACTGATTAAAATCCTGGTGAGTCAGAGCAGCAGTTGCTATTCCAGGATGCTCTCAGCCTTTGCCTCCCCTTCCTTAACCACTGTGACCCACTCAGCCGTGCAAGGAACTCCTGTACAACCCTCTGGTCCCTCCTGGTCCTAGGTATGACCAAACCCTCCTGCACACACCTGAGCATCAGCAGACAAAGCCAAACCCTCTACCCAAACCGCCACAAGTGCCTGTCTGAAGGACTTCACTATCAGCCTCATGTATGAGTAAGTTAGGTTACAAACCATACTAAGTATGTAAACATGTTCTTTAAAGTGGTTTGATAGTAAATACTCCCAAATCCTGTTCCTGCCACTGGTGCTGCTTACAGTAAACATCAGGATAATGAGCCTCAACTGCCTTTGTAGTTGCCAGACATGAAGATATTGCAGTAGTTTGGTTACAAAACCTGCAGGAAAATATTTGCCTGGGTTTAAGCATCAGCAGAGTCTGAGCACCCAAACACAGCTCTGCTCGTTTCCTCGAGTACAGCCCCATAACAGCTCAGCCCTGAACTTTTATCTGCTACTGAGCAAAGATATGAATAACACCATTTGCCAGAGCTTACAAACTCCACCACAGCCCCATTCATCCAAAGAAGTGGCCAATTTTTCCCAACTGCTTTGTAAACAAGGAGAAAAGAGAGAATCAGCACCAACGTCAGCCTGAGGAGGACTTGCTTTCCTGCTGCTCTCACAGGGGCTCTCAGGCCACTGCTCAGTGACATCCTGGGTTCGATGACCCATTTGTGGGCTGAAACTATTTCCCAAACTACCACAAATGAGACAATAAAGCCCCAAAAGGGGCAAATTCCACCAACCACAACAGGCACACACAAAACCCAATGCCAGGCAAAACCAGCCA